TCTCTCTCTCTCTCTCTCTCTCTCAAGTACTCCTCCTCTGAGGGGTGTACATCTCTCAGAGCGTCTCTTCTGTGTGTACAGTACTGAATGTCTCCCAGGCCGCATGATGGAGTTAATTGACCGAGTTGAACATCAATCTCCACGGCCTCTCAGCAGATGGACCAAATTGCCTCAGTACAGCACACATCAGACTCTCATCAGACACAGCCACAGGCAACAGTGAGACAGAGTCGACTCCTGCAAGAAGAATGCTACACACTGACTTTACTACATTGCTTAGACTTTTTCAGACTTATAATTAAGTGAAAAGGAGAAACACGTGATACGGCTGGAAGAAAAATACCAATTTGTGTACGGTTTCTCAAACAGAGTGCATTTCTACAGATTTTCCATTTGGTAACAAATTCTGCTCCACCTCGCCTGCCAAATTCTACCCTCGGCTCCTAAATCTTCATACGCCGCCCAAGGCAAAGAGACAAACATCTGCCTAAGGGTAACACAACAAAGCCAGGTGCTCTTTCCCTCATGTATCTCTTTGTAAATATAACTTGTCATGTGCTGTTATGAGCAGCATAAATGTTTATCACCAACTGGGTTTGTTTATTATCAGTAGTGTCACATTTGATTGTGATGGTCTCTTTGGTGAATCAATGTGAACTTTATGAGATAAAGATGTAATTTGCTTATTGGGGTTTCATTTTGTACACTCAGAATAGATTAGAGCCGGTGTCATTCTTACAGATAGGAAGGTTTGTGAACACTGTGTTCGTTCAAAAATATGTCTGTGTGCAGAGCCAACAGCGTGAGATACCTGCTGAAGTGCTCTCTGAATATCGATGCCTTGGCCCCAAGGTGCTGGTGGGTTGGCCAGACATTCTCCAGCATTTCCACGGCGAGATATATCTATCCTCTGCCTACGGAGGTTCTGGAAGGCTGTGGACATGACTTTGACTCCATCATATGTGAGAGCTCCAGTGTACTGCACAAAGAATGCAGAGAGACATATGAGAAGTATATTTATATATCTAAATATGGTATAAATGATAATTATATATAACAGTTTATAATATAATTTTGTGTTAAAATCTGTTTAAATTGACTATTCGACTAAATGTCTTTTCATTTTGAAGAATCAAAAGCCTTTTGTATTTTGTCATCAGATTTTGATGTAATACAATAGTGCTCTCTAGAACTGTGCCAGTGATTCATTATACAACTTAATTACATGTTGTTGCTTTGTTTTTATTCATTATCTGTCAGGGCAGAATCAGTTCTTCACACTGTAGTCAGTTGAGCGGCTCACCTTCAGTCCTCGCTTGGGAACTTTGGCGTCTTTGTTGTCAAAGTCCATCCACTGCTGCACTATCCTACTGATGTTACGGTCTGCATAGTTCACCAGCTGGAAGCCTGTTACATTCGCCTCACTCTTCTTAAACTCTGTCAGGTCGATGTCCAGAAACCCCTAAAGGAGCACAGAGAACATGCATGTCATACTGTGATTTAAGTTTCAGTAAAAAATAGAAGTTCTCCATGGTCAAGAAAATGAGAAGAAATCCAATTTCAGCCAAACGTCAATCATTAAAGACAAGCCATTGACTAAATTGAAAAGGGAGACCAATTTGAGATAAAATACAATGACAAATCCCCTGCAATTGTTAAAAAAAAAATCCAATGTAAGACCTCGACAGGAAATGAAGGTTGAATTCGCAGCGGAGGGAGTCATTTTCGCATTAATGCTCAGGTGCAGCGAGAGAGCAGGAGGCCGGGCCTGTGGAGTGCCTTCAAATGTAATGCAGGGTTTAAAACGATAATGGAAAGAATGGTTGGGTCAATCACTTAATGAAAAAGGCTAATCCCTCTCATCCACTGAGGCTGGTTATCCAAGAAAGCTTGGGTGTTATCCGATGTGGTGACAGAAAATGCAGGAACTGTGAATAGGAATTTGGAGTAAAAAAACGGACACATATTGAGAGTTTGCCGGAGGTCTGCCTTTGATCCCACAGGTGCTATTTAGTAATTCAAGGCCTTTTCCCACAATCCAATCAGCTGAGGTACCCTTGTGAAAAAAAAGTATACTTTATTGTATTTGTAATATATTACCTGTTTTAATAGTACATTGCAAATATACTAAAAAAAAAAGTACTATCTTTAAATATATAAAAAGTATATTAGCATCATGCTTTTGTCTATTTTCACAATACAACTTTTAACACACTTTAAAACAATTGTAATTTAGTATATTTTCTACAAATATATTTGACAAAAATATACTTGAATTGAAAGTTCTGTTTATTTTTTATAAGTAACAATTGTAATTTTCTACAAATATATTTGACAAAAATATACTTGAATTGAAAGTTCTGTTTATTTTTTATATTTTTTATATATTTTTTAACTGTGTGCTGAAAATGATCATTGTAACAATGCATTGAAAGTATACTTTCAAAGTACATTATTAAATAACCTGAAGTCGTAGTATT